GACCAGCTCGTGGGAGGTGCTGCCCTTCCCTGTGCCATTGGAGAGACTCTGGATCTGCAGCCCAGGGAGCTTGTGATGGCTTCTTGTCCACAGAAATGAGGGCTGCAGTTGTGACTTTCTGGATGGTGGCCCAGAGGAAGCAACACTGGCAGAGCCTCTTCTGTGAAGCAGCTTTCAAAGCAATTCTATGACATTGAAAGAGCAAAGGATAAAATGTTGGAAGCTGATCCAGATCTAGAAAAGTGTTTGATAATTGCTAGAAAAGGCATAGAAGTGATGCTTGCATTGTGTCATAAGTTACATGGTGAGAAGACCACAAGCACAGTTCCAACTCCCCTTAGAAATTTTTTTGCAGGCGGGATGCAGTGGCTCACACCTGTATCCCCAGCACTTTGGGAGGCTAAGGTGGATGGATCGTGAGGTCAGGAGTTTGAGACCAGCCTGGCCAACATAGTGAAACCCCCTCTCTGCTTAAAAAATACAAAAATTAGTAGGGGGCGGTGGGCACCTGTAATCCCAGCTACTTGGGAGGCTGAGGCCAGAGAATTGCTTAAACCCGGGAGGCGGAGGTTGTAGTGAGCCAAGATCACACCACTGCACTCTAGCCTGGGTGACAGAGCAAGACCCTGTCTCAAGCGGCACTATCTCAGCTGACTACAACCTCCGCCTCCCCGGTTCAAGTGATTCTCCCGCCTCAGCCTCCTGAGTAGCGGGGATTATAGGAGTGCGCCAACATGCCCGGCTAATTTTTGTATTTTTAGTAGAGATGGGTTTCGCCATGTTGGTCAGGCTGGTCTTGAAATCCTAACCACAGGTGTGAGCCACGGCACCTGGCCAAAAAAAATTTATTTTCATTTTTTGTAGAAACAGGGTCTCACTATGTTGCTCAGGCTGGTCTTAAACTTGTGACGGCAAATAATCCTCCTTCCTTGGCCTCCCAAAGTGCTGGGATTATAGGTATGAGCTGCCATGCCTAGTTTGACAAAATTTTTCATTTTTCTTTTTTTTTGAGATAGAGTCTTGCTCTGTTGCCCAGGCTGGAGTGCGGTGGTGCAATCTCGACTTACCACAACCTCGCCTCCTGGGTTCAAGCAATTTTCCTGCCTCAGCCTCCCTAGTACTGTAGCTGGGACTACAGGCGCGTGCCACCATGCCTGGCTAATTTTTATACTTTTAGTAGAGATGGTGTTTCACTATGTTGGCCACGCTGGTCTCAAACTCCTGACCTCATGATCCACCCGCCTTAGCCTCCCAAAGTGCTGGGATTACAGGCATGAGCCACCTCGCCCAGTGACAAAAATTTTTATTTTTCCCACTGACTATGAGATTGCTTTGTGTGATCATACACTGATGGGCAGGACAGTTGCTGCCTCTGTTTACCATTTGGCCTCTTATGGAAAACATTTGCAGACCCTTGTTCTAGAAAAACGTGTGAGTGGGAGCAGGAGGAGGAGAAGCATTTCAGGAGTGGCTTTGGGCTTTCCTGTCCTGCATGTGGTGAGGCAAGAAGCTCTGGTGCCTCAGCTCATAGCACTCATGGGAGTGTGTCAATAACTAGAACCCTAGGAATGTTATTTTGCTTGTTTTAATGAATATAAAAACATGAATAAAAGAAAACACCAAGTTCAAGGTGGTGGGAGGTTAATTTGGCGGAGGCAGAGCAAATGCGATGGAATGAGGGGTATGCAAAGGGTTTCTGCTCTATCCATGTTTTATTTATTTATTTTTGGAGAACAGAGTCTTGCTTTGTCATTCAGGCTAGAGTGCAGTAGTGCGATCTGAGCTCACTGCAGCCTCCACCTCCCGGGTTCAAGCGATTCTTCTGCCACAGCCTCTTGAGTAGCTGGGAGTATGGGCGCCCGCCGTCACGCCCAGCTAATTTTGTTTCTGTATTTTTAATAGAGATGGGGTTTCACCATTTTTCCCAGACTGCTCTCGAACTCCTGACCTCAAGTGATCTGACCACCCAGCCTGTTCATATATATATTTTACTCCTTGAAAAATGTTAAAATTTGATGACATTGAGATGTGGACATACTAGACATAGGGTATTTTCTGTACTCCTCAGCATATTTGAAATACTTCATTAAAGTACTTACTTTGCAAAGTAGACACAGCTGCAATTATGCGTTTTTGGAAAATGATTACAGTACCATCTCATCTCTTTTTTTTTTTTTTTTTTTTTGAGACAGGGTCTCACTCTGTTACCCAGGCCTGAGTGCAGTGGTGCAGTCGCAGCTCACTGCATCCTCTGCCTCCTGGCACAGGTGATCCTCCCACCTCAGCCTCTCAAGTAGCTGGGACCACAGGTGCACACCACCACACCCCACTCATTTTTTTGTATTTTGAGCTGAAGGAATTGGCCTGTCTTGGCCTCCCAGAGCACTGGAGTTACAGGTGTGAGCCACTGGTCCAGTACTGTCTTTTAAAATCTGTAAAATTAGATTAGATTGGTAGTCCTTGGGACACCCCAGAATTCTGTAATGTCCTTCTTAGAGGGTGACAGCAGATCTATCCAGCTGACTGTAGATTGTTGTCTTAGTCACCGGCTGATTGTCTTGATTAAAGCTCTAGTGACTTCAGAACCAGAGGAACCTGTTTTTCAAGACATCATTCACAAAGACCAGTTTGTTTTGCAATTTTACAATAGCTGTTGAGAATACCTGCCAGGATTTTCTAAGTGAGGTTCATATTTCAGATGATGTGTGCCGTTAGCCATTTCTGATGCTTTTCCAAAAGAAAGTTACTCTTCCCTAAAGGCAGGAATTCTACTTTTGCTTAGATATTCTGAAGCTTAAGAGTTCATCCAAATTTGGTTCCTTTCAGCATTTTCCTGTTTGTCCGTCTGCGTTTAGGAAACATACAGAATGTACTTAATTTTGCCCTTGTATTTGTGAGCATACAAAATAGCACTTGAGTCATGTTTTTCATGATTGCTTCCCAATACTGTTCTAAGACTAATATAGCATTTTGTCATTTTGTAATAATAGAATTCCTCATTAAAGAATAACTTTCTAAAAATGTGTCCAGCCCAGTCCTCGTCAGCCTTGGCCGTTTCCTTTGGTATGTTGCTGTCTGTGACCCTGTCATTGAGTGTGACTGAAAACAGAGGACTGGCCGAGGACCTGGCCTTGGTGAGCCCTCCGATTGTGACAAAGACCCTGAGGAATGTTTTGGCTTGTAGGCAACCTCAGTTGTGTTTTCCTACTGCCTGTTGATGCCGTGGCTTTTTCTTCCTGTCAGTCTGAAGGGTCATGTTACTCCCTGGGCGCTCATCAGACTTCTGTGAGCTCATCCTGGCACTGCTGCTTGCCTCACTTTAATCACCTCGGGTCTCAGCATTCTCATTTGTAAAGCAGGGGTATTATTGCGTGATTCACAGTTTTATTGTGACTGTTAGAGGTAGGGCACATGATATGCCAGGCATCATGCTTGGCAAAAGCAAGAAGTATTGCGGCCAGGCACTGTGGCTCATGCCTATGATCCCATCACTTGCAGAGGTGAAGGCAGGAGGATCACTTGAGACCAGCCTGGGCAACATGGTGAGACTCCAATCTTTAAAAAAAAAAAAAAAAAAAAAATTAGCCAGGCATGGTGGTGTGTGCCTGTAGTCCCAGCTACTCAGGAGGCTGAGGTGGGAGGATCGCTTGAGCCCAGGAGGTCGAGGCTGCTGTGAGCTGTGATCATGCCACTGCACTCCAGCCTGGGTGACAGAGTGAGACTCAGTCTCAGAATAAATAAATAAATAAATTACAAGCTTTTTGGAGAACAGTGAATGAGAAAATGCATTGTTGTTATTTGTGGTGGAAGTGAATACTATATGGCCTGTGTTTCCTGAAGGAACACTACCTCCATTAAAACAAATAAGCAAACAAAATCCCTTTTCATGACTTCAGTTCTCTCAAGCCTGAAAGTAAAGTTGACATCATAGATGCTTAAAAGCAATTCAGTTAGTAAAAGCATGTGACAAAGTGAGATGATTTGCTTTCAACAAGGAGCTTCCTTCCGTATTCAGAAAAGAATGTGTGTCCTAACTAGTAAGGACATGGCTGAATTTAGTCTCAATTGGACCTAACTTCAGCCAATTAATCTGCTACTTAGAACTCTTTTACTCAAACGAAATTTGGGTTTAAAAAAAAATTTTTTGTCCGAGCACGGTGGCTCACGCCTGTTAATCCCAGCACTTTGGGAGGCCGAGCTGGGCAGATCACCTGAGGCCAGAAGTTTGGGGCCAGCCTGACCAACATGGAGAAACTCCATCTCTACTAAAAATACAAAATGAGCCGGACATGGTGGCGGACACCTGTAATCCCAGCTATCTGGAGGCTGAGGCAGGAGAGTCACTTGAAACCTGAAGTCGGAGGTTGCAGTGAGCCGAGATTGTGCCACTGCACTCCAGCCTGGGTGTAACAAGAGCGAAACTCCATCTCAAAAAAAAAAAATTATATTACAAAAATTTTCAAATATATACAAAGCAGTGAAAAGTGTTATAAACCCCCATGTACCATCATCCAGCTTCAACAACTGCCAACTTCTGTCTTTCAGACATAATGTGTTTTTAGTCCAAGCGTTCTTTTTTTTTGGACAGGAAGTAAATTTATTGGTGAACATTAAGAGGGAGCAGTACAGTGGAAGTCCTTATGAGCACAGGGCTCGCCACTTGTCCGGAGGGCCACAATTGGAGATGTACTTAACCCCACAGCCATCTGGGATGAGCTGTTTCTCAGCCGCTGTGTCTTCAAATTCATTGGCATTGAACTTGGTGAAATCCCACTTCTTTGAGATGTGGATCTTCTGGCGGCCAGGGAACTTGAACTTGGCCCTGCGCAGGGCCTCAACCACATGCTCCTTGTTCTGCAGCTTGGTGCAGATGGATGTGATAACTTGGCCAATGTGAACCCTGGCCAGTGTCCTGGGGCTTTACAAAGGCACCTTGCGTGCCTGTTTGGAGCCAACACTGGGACAGTACAAGGCCAGAGACAAGAACATACGTCTGAAAGGCTTGTGTCCAAGGTCCCTTAGAGCAACCCATAAAAGAAACAGGCTGCATTACACTACCAAGGAAGCTGCTGTTTGTGTAGCCATTGCACACAAGTTCTCTCTTAAAAAAGAGAAGTTTCTTTTTCTTTCTTTTTTTTTTTTTT